GGAGGGGTCCGAGTCCGCTGGGGTCTGGGAGGCATGGACACAACGAGTGCTGCGGTGGCTCATAAAAGCCGAGCTGCGTTCTTGTCGCTGCCCTTCACAGCATGACCTTTTCCGTTGCTTATTGAGCACTTGGCTCTGCTGGGGCGGCACCATTGTGGGGACAGTGGGGACACGAACCCCCAGCCGCGGTCCCAGGGGCAATGGGAGCAGCCGCGGGGCCAGCGCTGGTTGTCACTGGGGCAGCCGGGCCCTGGCCGCCCAGTTTTGGGGTCTGTCCTGTACTGGTACCACCAGTTCTGGTGGGAAAGTGGTTGCAAAGGTAAGTGGGAGCTGTAACAGGGACAGGAGCTGTGGGGCTGGTCACTGCACTAAAGGTTCTCAGGCCGGCGTGTGACCTCTGGAATCCCCCATGGTAACTTTAGCTGCATTGTTGACAGGTCCAGACATCAAATCTCATCTGACCGAAGTCTCCGGGAAGCTGATCCTCACCTGCAACATGACAGCGCCTCACCCGGCCATCGATGGCCACGAGTGGATGCATGGGGACAAGGTCCTGCACACCGACGTGGAGTCCGGTGCTGTCACCAGCTACACGTGAGCATCGGGGGCGCGGGCAGAGAAGAATCTGGGCATGGGGGGTGGGTTTTTTACCAGATGCAGTTAATTGGCTGAGCCCAGAGTCGAGCTTTAAAACTTCAGAACATGAGTCCAAGCTTTGGTAAAGCCCAACATTTTCCCCTTTGTGGGGAGGAGGAGTCAAAAGGAGGAGGAAGGGAAAGTGATTGCCGCAAGTAACCTCTTAGTAGGAGAAATTCTGCTGCTTTGTGTCTTATGCCGGCGTTTGGCCAGGCTGGGTTTGGGGCAGGGTGCGAGGTGCCACGTGCTGGGGCTGCACCCATCCGCCCCGTCCCCCCCCCCCCACGTCTGTGTGTGCAGCTGTTTGCCGGAGCTCTCGGGGACCCTGCTCCGGGCTGTACGCACCTTTCCAAAGTCCGGCCGTTCTCGCAGGACGAGCTGGGGAGCTGCCTGTGAGTGCTGCTCTGCGCTCAGGAGCGGTTTGCAGGCTGCAGCTGGGCAGGAGCGGGAACACCGGCCGCATTGTCACCGTGCAGCGAGCTTTCCTCTTCGATTAGGGTCAGGCTGGGCTGGCGCTGACCCAGCCGCTGTGGAGGCATCGTGTCCTTTGTGCGGCAGTGCCGACGTGCCTGCCTCCCCATAGCAACAGGGAGCTGAACAAGGGTTAAAGTATTTATAACCCAGCCTCCCTCGCGTGACCTCAATTCCTCGCTGGCTGGTTTTGGGGAGCGGGAAGCACCGTGCACGGCGGAGCTGACAAACAGCCTCTTGTCCCAGCGCAGCCACGGGACAAACTTCTGTGCCCCTTCCCTTGAGTGGGTATTACTGGGCTGCAGAATGGGAGGTTTGTTGCTGTGCAGCGTAATCCACTAAATCTCATTGCAGCAGCTTTGCAAAAGGGAAAATGGGAGAATTCTCCCTACGCTTGGATCCGTGCAGAGTGACCCAGCCCGGGTGTTCCTTGCTGCCTGCTTTGCCGTGTGTTCCCTGGGCTTTCCTGCCTGGGGAGCACAGCCTTCCCCTGGACCTCCCATCCTCAGCTCCCTGCCCGTCTCCTCGAGGCATCAGCCCTGCCGCTCGCCTCTGACATGAGGTGTGGCCGTGTCCTGGGCTGTGCTGATGGCAGGACTCCCGCTGCCTTCAGAGTCCTGCGGAGGAGACCGCTGCTGCCTACGGGTGTGTCTGTGCGGGTTTGGAGTTCGGTGTCAGTCGGTGCTGAGTGGTTGTCTGACATCCTGCTTTTTGGCAGAATCGAGGGGAAGATGGAAGAGCACTCTGGCATCTATGAGTGTGTCTACAAAACGAGCCCAGTGATAAAGGGACAAGTGACTGTTTCAGGTAACTTCAGATGTTTGCTTCTGTCTGAGAACGGGGGTGGGAAAGCTGTGATCTCCTGAACACTTTGCTTTGGTATCTTTTCGGCTTCTTGAAAAGCTGCTCCTAGCCCTTTATTAATGGAGCGGCAGGACTGCACATGGCTGCTGCCAGACCTGCTCTGAGGCAGCTCCATCTTACCAGGCAGCTCGAGTCTTAGACCTTGGGTTAAATCTTTTCGGTAACAATGAGCCTGATTTTCTCTTGCTGCAGTTGCCCCCCAGGTGATGGCGTACAAGAAGTCTGAGCATGGGAATGAGGGGGACACGGGCGTGATGATCTGCAAGAATCCCTCTTTCCCCCCTGTCAGCTCCTGGGTCTGGTACAAGAATGGTCAGGAGGTGAGTGCTGTGGGGTGATGCTCTGTCTCCCCTTCTGCCCACCCGACTTCCCGGCGCAGAAGGGAGGACCTCATCCCGTCAGAATTGTCTGTTGCGGAGCAGCCTCCTCGGCGCCGGGCAGGAGGGTGTCTGTAGCGGTGGCACCACGCACGGGGAGCGAGCAGCTGCCCTGGGTCAGCGCTGCCCTGAGAGCTCTTCCCTCCCTCCAGCCCATCGTCAATGGGTCCGGTCGGTACATCATCAAGTCCACGGGCAACAAGACGGAGCTCCGCATTCTCAAGCTGAACATCGAGGAGGATACCGGCGACTACCACTGCAACGCCACCAACTCCCAGGGCTTTGGCGGTGCCACGGTGAACCTGCGCGTGCGCAGCCGCCTGGCAGCGCTCTGGCCCTTCCTGGGTATCGTGGCAGAAGTCCTCGTTCTCGTCACCATCATCTTCATCTATGAGAAGAGGAGGAAGCCAGATGAGGTTCTGGATGGTAAGAGGTGCCTGGGGTTAAATCTTCCTGGGGAGTCCGAGTGACTTGTAGGGTGCAGGCAGAGTATTCTCAGAGAACCTGGAGCTCCTTCTGCCCGCTGGGCGTTGGTTTGAGGGCTGCTGCTCAGGGTGCTGCTTGTGAACCCGTCGGGGTCTTTACCGGGAGACTTCAGCCGTGCAGCTGAACTGCTCTGAGAGCCCTTCAGCGCATCGTGCATTGGATCTGGAGCGAGATAAGATTCGGTGCAGGTCAGGCTGACCCTCTGTCTCACCAGTTCCTCTGCGCTTTGTGAGCAACTCCAGGACGGGGTTTTCTTTGGCAGTTGATGTTCTGGAGGAGCTGGAGCTTTAACGTTCTGGAGCTTTTCTGGTGCTGCAGGATCAGGGGACTGTGTCGGTGGCTCCCTAAGACCAGGCTCAGCTTAATCCAGGTTCAGTTCAGGGATCTGTCCTCAGAGCCACACATCCTGACTCCGGGGGACTTCCTCAGAGCCTAGCGCTATCTGGGATCTGTTCTGGAAGTAGGGGCTCCTCCCTTTCCCTATCAGTAGGGATCTGCATTGTGTTCCCCAGCCACTCTTCCTTATCTGATCCAGCGAACAATGAGGGGTAACTGCTGGTATCCTTCCTGCCAGGGAGCACCTGGGGTGGGCTGAGCATGTGGGGTGAAGCAGAGGGACTGGAGCTCAACAGCTCAACATCCCCCCCCAGCATGGGGCTCGGGGCGGGGGGGGGGCTCTGCTCAGTCTCAGGAGCAGATGCTCTGCCCTCTGACAGCCTTGGCTGGAAGGCAGATGTCATCTTAAGGGGGTTGTAGCTGCAGCTTCCAGCAGAACTGTAACCTGTGTGTGGTGAGGGCAGCACCAGCCCGGTCCGGATGGTGCTCAGCGCTGACCTGCGGGAGCTTGGCAGATGCTGTGATGGGGCGTGTGCTGAGGGGTCCAATGCTGCTTGGCCGGAGCTCCTGCGCTCAGGTTCCTGGGTGCTGGTGGGTGAGATCAGGGTCGTACCTGTTCAGACATCGAGGCACCAGACCTGACCCTGCCGATGGGCGAGGGTGGTGCCGGTGCCTCTGTTACCCCGTGGGCTGAGCCCACCCCGTGCCTGCCGCAGCAGCTGCGTAACAGGAGCTCGTGTCCGGGTTTGTGCCTTGTCTCAGCTCAGACAAGCAGCTGCTTTGAACTCCCGCGGGGAGGGGGCTGTTCTGGTAGGACGCAGCCCCCGGCTCTGCCAGGCGCTGGTGAAACAGGACCCCGGGGTGAGGTGACCTTTTGGGCTCGGTCCTGTGCGGGCAGCGGTGTCCAGTGTACCCAGTAACCTGTCTGGAATGCTGGTCCCCGGGGCTTAAAGAGGTGACGGAGATGACCCGATGTTTGTTCTTTCTTTCTGTGCTGTCCTGAACGTGAAGATGATGATGGAGGTTCTGCACCACTGTAAGTGCTCTGCTTTTTCCCGTTCATCCAGACCTGTGCTGGCAGGTCACATCCATGCGGGGAATCCGCTCTGACTATCAGAGCTGGCTGGTGTGGGAATAACACCCTCGTTTGCTGGGTGGGAGGCTTCCCTGCGGCTCATTTAACGTGGGCAGTGTATGAACTGCACGGAACAGGGGATGGCACCGGGGTCTCCAGAGCTGACGCTGTCCTGGGAGCTCGTCTCTCCTCGTCTGCACCCTAATTACATCGGGGGTAGGGTTGGGCTTCGTGCCTTTTGTTTCCTCACTGCCCCTTTTCTCTTCTCAGGAAAAGCAATGCCACAAACCACAAGGACAAGAATGTCCGCCAGAGAAATGCTAACTGAGAGCTGGGGCCAGGTGAGCACTGTCCCGAGGGCAGGGCTGTGGTCCTGTGCTGCTCCATCAGCCCCCTCTGCAGCCTTACTGGGGCCACTGGCGGTCTAACTGGCTTTTCCTTCTCTCCTGCCAGGTGATGTGTGGCTGAAGAACTCGTCTGGACAATTTTGTTTTCTTTTAATTTTTTGTTAAAATAGCATCATGAAATACTATAGTGCATCCTTGCAATTCATTTACTTCACTTTCTAAAGAAACTTAAGTTGTAGAATCTAAAATACACTTTTTTTTAAAGAGTTGTGGGAGGGTTTTTCTACCTGTAAATGTAAATCCCTTGTTTCTGGTAGTCTAGGTCACTGGCTGTCTCTGTCCTGGGTTTCGTGGTGTTGGTGCAGAGGGGTGGGTGGGAGCAGAACTTCCCCACGGCTGGGAAGAGCTGGGTGTGCTGGGTTGGGCCATGTTGGAGTCCCCTCCTTGCCCCACCTCGGGGTGTGAGGCCACGCAGGGAGCTGTGAGGACAGACCTGAACACGCAGCAGAACGCATGCGGTTCCTTGCGTGCTGCTCCGCTGGCATGGCCGGTGCTCCCCAGGTCTGTGTGTGTGGGTTGGGGACGAAGCTGCTTTGGTGACCATCTGGAGATGACCTGACCGAAGGGTTGGGAAAGGTGGTTCTGTGTCTTTGCTGGAGCATCGCCTGGAGCAAGGCTGCACCTTTCCCCGGCACAGCAGCAGCACGTGTCCTGTATCCTGCTTGGCCAGGGCTCCCGGGCACATCTGCTGGTGCAGCTCTGGGCAGGAGCAAGCCAAGGGCTGGTTCATCGGTGTGTGCCACACCACCCGACCCACACGCCATGCCGGGCAGGTTCCCCATCGGCTCCTCCAGAGCAGCTTCAGTTCCCTCCTAAACAGACGCAGGAGGCTGCACTGGAGCTGGATACTGGATGCGTGTGATTGCTGTTAAATTATTTCCCGGGCTGTTGGTGTCTCTTCTCAAGCTGCTGCAGTGGGGGACTGGGGCTGTGGGGTGTTAACGGGGTGTTCTTGGCTTGACCATTGAGGGGTGTGCGTGAGTGCGTGACAGGAGCCGGAGAGCAGACGAGTGCTCAGGGGGGTCTAATGCCTTTATTGCTGGGTAGCGTTGAACTGTTCCATCTGTTAACACACTTCACAAATAAAGATGATTCCTCTCTTTTTTTCCACCTTTGTCTGGCCTCTGGTCTCTCTTCCCCGTGGGCTGGACCCCTGGGTGCCTGACCTGCTGACTCATTTCTGGCTGTTGAACACAACGCTGTGTCTCACAGTTTGGCTGCACTCTCCTTGCTGGGTGTTTGCGGCTCCGGAGGTGTTCAAGCCTTTGCCAAGGGCGGGGAGCAGTGGTCCCCACTCTGCAGAGCCTGGAGGAGCCCTGGTCACTGGGGCACACATCCTCTTTGGGGACAAGTGTCACCCTGTCCTGCTGCACAGTTCCTCAGTGCCTTGGGCTGGGGGGTCAGGGATCAGCCCCAGCCTGCAGGAGCCCTGGCAGGACGTGCTGCTTGCATGTTCCTCTGCTGTTATTTTTATTTTTGCCAGCTCTTTCCTGCAGGGAGAGGGAAGGTGTGAGGTTGTGTGCAGGGTGGTGCTGGGGGAGGATAGGGATGCAGTGGGGGGTCCCTGGGGCTGAGCTCAGTGTCCTGCCCATGCTTCTGCCCTTGGTGTGAGGTGGGGGGCTGTGGGCTGCAGAGAAGCCCCCACACCCACCCTGCTGCCCCTGCCTGCCCTGGTCCCCAGGAGTGACCGAGGGGTGGCCCTGGGGCCTTGCCCTGTAGCCAAACA